AGCTCCCCAAAAGCAATTTAGCTGAAATTCCTGGGGGATAAGAAGTGAAAGAAGATATGGGGGTAGGGGGAGTACAAACAACTATATAGAGAAGATGTTGTTCAGTCCTGTCCAACTCTTCATGACCCCATGGACCATGGCACACCAATGCTATCCAAGGGTTTTCTTGGCAAAGGTACTGGAGTGGTTTGCCATTTCTTTCTCTAGTGGATTAAGACAAACAGAGGCTAAGTGATTTGCCCAGGGTCACCCATCTAGTAAGTGCCCAAGGCCAGATTTGAACTCAGTTCTTCCTGACTCCAGGCCCAGTGCACTAGCCAGTGAGCCACCCAGCTGCCTCCACAGAGAAGACAGAGAAAGGATAAATTAGAGAGGAGAGACAACAAAGCCCAAGTGTGGGAAGACAACAAATTACTAGGTAAGGTTTTATCCCCTCTAAACTAAAGCCAGGCATAAAGTCTGAAGGGGCAAAGACAGAGACATTGAAATGTGAAGGGAAGCCATTTCAGATGGAAAGGAAGCATACCACCCCTTGGCTCGGGAACAGAGACTTGACTAGCACACGTGCAGATGAAAAGGCCAGCAAAAATGATAAACTAAATCGTATAGAACATCATAAGGCCAATCTGAAGGAGCTGCCCCCAACTCAAGGAGACCGGAACCAGGCCAGGGACCTCACCTGGGATTCTGCAGCCTGGGAGAGGAAGTTACCCCTTAGTAATTTCTTAATTTAACTAATTATTCTTGCTAAATTCAGTTTAGGGAGCCTCATAGGATAATGCCTCCCAGGTGGGAGACCAGCTGCCTACCCTAGAGTTGAACCTCAGGGGAAAACCAGTACAGTCAGACATAATCCTTCCCTCCATGAAACCCTTTCTAATCACTGATCTTCTGCCCAAACTCAATTCTCAATGGTTAGCTCAATGGCTAGTTCTCATGTTTCCATCCTCTTATGTTGCCCCGATCCCATCGAGTCTGGACCGGCCAAGCTCTGAGAGCTCCTAGGGATCCTAATGGCTGATTTGTATTCGGAGCAAGTGATGTCAGCACTCTGAGGACTTAGTCTCCTGAGCCAACCAAGTCTTGAGAAATACCTCAGTATTTTTTAGGGGAAAAACTAACCCAATCCGCAGGGCGGCAAGGAGAGGCTGGCATATATAGTAAAGCTTATAAATGCTTGTTGACGAGACATGAATCAATAAACTAGTAAAATATAAGTGTTATCAGCCCCCTCTAAATGTTAACACCCTGGGGCAAGGCCCTAGGCATATTGCCCTAAAGCCTCAGTTTCTTCTGTAAAATGAGGCTAAGATTCCCTATCTCTCAGGGCTCCAGTGAGTTAAATGCCTTGAAAAACAAATCGCTGCAGAAATATGAGTTCTTAAATATTCTTCTTACTCTAAAAGGTTATATTTTGTTGCGTTTTCATTGTTTGGTACAATAGCCAAGTTATGAATCGTTTTAATAAGGAGGAAGCTCTTTGTTCCTTTTTTTTTTTTTTTTGGCTAATGCTTTCTGTACTAATGCCTGCCTTTGACTCTCTACCAGCTTCATCTGGTAGCCACACTGTAGGGGAGAGAGGAAAGAAAGGAAAGCCCCTCTGTGCTTTTAAAAATCCCAAATCTCACAGCTAGTGATAGGCTCATGACAGTTTCCTCCAGTTTCTTGGAACTCAAAGGCTCTGTCTACATCCTTGAAGGCAGAGCCAGAATCAACCAGTGTTAGGCCCCTCTTTCCCCCGGGAGCACAGAAATGTAGGGGTGCCACAGCACTCTCTCCCACTCCCGCAGCAAGGGAGGAAACAATTGAGTCTAGCACCTCCTTAGCATGATTAGTGAATAACCAGAAGCTACCAGGGATTCAGCTTATCTTCTACTTCACCTCAGGTGTGTGGAGGTGCTTAGCACAGTGCCTATCACGTAGCAGGTACTCAATAAATATATATTGATTGATTGGGGGGAACTCTCTCTTCTCCCTCTATTAAGCTAATTTCAATTCAATTTGTTAAAAAAAAATATTAAGCTTCTACTGTGTTCTAGGCATTGAAGGTACAAGGACAAAAGTGAAAGTGTCTCCACGAAGGCTCAAATGGTCATAGAGTAGGATGAGATTTCAGAAGTCCTCTAGTACAAATTCTTCCTTGTACAGATGAGGAAACTGAGGCCCAGGGTAGCTATCAAAGGGGCCCTGTCAAAGATGGGCTTAGAGGAAAGCTAAGAATTCTAACAGGCAAAGGTGAGGAGGGAGAACCTTCCAGGTATGAGAGACAGCCTGTGCAAATCCAGTACATTGAGCCAGGAGATGGAATGCCTTGCATGAGGAATTGCAAGCTGTCCTATTTGGCTAGAAAGTAGAGAATGTGAAGGGAAGTAATATGTGAGTGGGCTGGAAGCTGACGTCAGGATGTGAAGAGCTTTAAATGCCAAAGAAAGATTTTGTATCTTATACTAGAGGTAAGAGGGAGCCACGGCTGATTCTAGAGCAGAGGAATGCCATGTTTAAACTTAGCTTTGGGAATCTTCGCTTTGTAGCTGTGGGGATATTCAGCTGGAGAGGGGAGACACTGAAAGGCAGGACATCACTTGGGCAGCTAAAAAGGTGAATGGTATCGCTTAAGAACAGGGATTCTCTGAGTCTTCTTGTGCTGGCTTTCTCCTTAAGACATGTCTGCATTCCTAGCCCAGCCTCAGTCTTGCCTGCTATCCACCTTGAGATGTTGAACTGAGATCTCCTTGTCCCAGTCACTCCAGGACATATCTATCCCTAGGGGAACCCACCCCCGTCCCCCACACACACCCAGAAAGATCAGCATGGGGAAAGGTGCTGAATTTGGAGTCAAGACAACCTGGGTTCTTGTGGGCAAGGAGACCAGAAGATACCAGAAGAACTGAGAAGTTAATCTCCCAATTTCCCACACCACCGACTAACTATGTCATTAGCAAGAAAAGAGTTGGGTCAGTCAACCAGAATTTCTTACGTGCCCGCTGCGTGCCAGCCAGCATACTAGGTAAGCACTGGGGATACAAAGAAATTCCCAGCTGTCTACTAGCTCACCATCTAATGGTATTGTGATCGTCATTTTTCAGTCATGTCTGACTCTCTTCTTGGCAAAGATGCTGGAGTAATTTGCCATTGCCTTCTCCAGCTCATTTTCCAGATGAGGAAACTGAGGCAAATAGAGGTTAAGTGATTCACCCAAGATCATACAGCCTATAAATGTTTGAGGACCAGATTTGGACTCAGAAAGATGAGTCTTCCTGACTCCTGGTCCAGCGCTGTATGCACTATGGTGCCACCTAGCTACCCTTAATGGGATTACTTGGGGTTAACCTTGACTCCAGCTAGATTGGTCTAAGATCAACTGTAGGGGCTTGGGACAAGAAGAAGTTAAAAGCAGTTTTTAGGTCTCTGGTGGAGAGCCCCGAGACCCCAGGGCACCTGCTTGCCAACTGTTCTTAACCTCCAGCAGGTGGCTTTTATCTTTCTTCCTGATCTGTTTCTCACTGTGTTGGGTTTCCTCTACCAGGGGTAGTGGCATTTTTTTTTTGTTTTTTAGTAAAAATGACTGTTTGCACTCCCATACTCTGAGTGCTCCATTGGACCTAACCCCGAATGGGAGGTTCAAAGCTAGTTCTACCCCTTACTCTCTGGGTTACCTAGGGCAAATGATTTCTCTGATCTGGACTTTAGTGTTCTCATCTATAAAATGTACGCATGGATAGGGAGGAGATTGGAGGGCCCTTTCAGCTCCAAATCTAGAGTTCTGTGATCCTGAACCTGTGAAATCTGGCCTGCTACCTTATATGGCCTATGAGCTGAGAATAAATGGCTTTTACCTTTCACCTTTTTCATATGCCAGGTTTGGCCAACCTGAACCAGAGCACCAAATAAGCCCCAGCTCCCTTCCCCCTTCTCTCCCAGAGTTCTCGAGACATCCGGGTAAGACTGGTATAGTGTATGTTCCCTGGTGTTGGAGCAGAGCCAGAATGACCATGGAGCAGGGATGCACTTCACACTCCACATCCTTCTGTGCTTTCAACTATGTTTTAATTAACTCTTCAGTCTGGAGTTAGCTTTTAACCAACGCACTCTATGAATTAATATTTACTGTATTTAACCAGTCGTTCCAGCAAAGGACTGAATGCCCCCTGAGGCCCAATCTAGCTTAGGATGGAGAGGATCATCACCTCTAGACTGGCCTGTTGGTGAATTCTTTTGCTATGGCTGGTTGATCAAACGAAGAAAAATACAAAACAACCCTCAGGGATATACAGCACTGATACAGTCCCTTAGACTGAGCCTCTTCCCTTAGGGAAAGAGGGGGAGGAAGAAAAGGAAGAGGATGTGATATGAGCTGATAGAACCAATATGACTGAGTTTACTAATTGTAGCCCCTTACTTCAAAAGAATTCTCTTAGACACTCATAATTGGTAGAACCAATGGTGATCAAGGTCTGTTTACCCTAAAATGTACATTTGAGTGCCTCAGTATAAAACCACACAGCCTCTAACAAGGGCGAGGTACCTGGAACCAGTCTATTATCTATATAAAACCAGTTTTCTGGTTTACAGTCATATATGTGGCTTCATTTCCCAGAACCAGAACACAGCTGAGATTAGGGATTGAGGGGAGGTGACACTATTGATATCCTCTTTGTATGAGTACCTCACTGGTAATTTACATGTTTTCTATAAACATGTTTAGATTAACTGACTGAGACTTTGTCTCTGTCCCTTAGACCTGACTGATCCTAACCCCTTTGTGCTTCAGCAGGCAGAAGAAGGGGCAGAGGGTCCTAAGAATTACATTACCAACCAACCAGAAAACATTCAGTTAATTAATTATTGCTATTCTAAATGTGAAATCCTTGTCCTGTAACCGATTCAGAAGCCAACTACTGGAGAAACCTCAACACTCTTTTTGGAACCTTACCAAGAAGAGCTGTATAAAGAGGTCAACAGAGAGTTGTGAGTGAAAAGAAGGTAGGCAGGTCGTGTAACAAGAAGAGCCCATGGCTAGCTCCCATGAACCTTTGGTATCTGTGTAATGGCAAGAGACCCGGAGGAAAACCCTGGCACATTGAGGGGGTCACCTGTGGAAGATTTAGAGGTGTGCAGGGATGGGAGTGGCACATGGTCAAAGACCTGAATGGGTTATGATCTGCACGACTGGAGGGATTGCCGGCGTTAGGGAGATCACAGAGCCCTTCTACACATCATAGTATAATTAACCAAGCAAACTGGATATACTCTGGTTCAAGAAAGTAATCAATGAGGTTTTGCTTAGATTCCAAGCACCTCCACTTCAAGATAGAAACATGGACCATTAGAACTGGAAGGGACCATAGAATATGGAATGTCAACACTTAAGGGACCCTGCAAACATAGAACATGCAGTGTCAGAGCTTAGTAATCATCTAGGCCAGCAGTTCCAAATTTTTTGGTCTATGGGATCCTTCCCACTCTTAAAAATTCTGGAGTCTCCCCCACCCAAGAACTGTTGTTTATGTGTTTGTTATATCTGTTGATATTTACTATATTAAAAATTAAAATGTCTTAGTATTATTATGAAAACGGTTTTGATATCAGGGAACCCTTGAAAGGTCTTGGGGACCCCAGACCACACTATGGGAACTGTTGATTTAATCTAACCCTGTCACTGTAAACACGGGGAAACTGAAGGTTAGGGAACCCAAACTGAAGCTTGGGGTAAGTTGTCCCAGATCTCACAATAGAATTGAAGTCCTGAAGTAGGTGCCTTCCAGTTGACCTGGAGAACATGTCCAGTTGGAAATCCATAGTTCAGTTCTGCTAGGGGATTTTAGGGACTGAAGTAGGCACCATACATTGCTCAAAGACTCTAGAATTTCAACCAGCAGGAAAGAGATCACTAAATGTTTTCTCTGTAACTTTACTGAAACTTTCTAGAAGCTTGAGTCCCACAAGGATCTAGGCAAACTGATCATACGTATTCTGCTGAATGCAGGCCCCAGGAAAGAAGTAGGTTTCAGGCTCATCAATGATCTCCCAATTATGCAGTAATGATAACACTTACATGAAGTTCCCTATCTTCTGCCTGGCTACCATGTGTCCCTGAAAGCATGGCAACTTTTTCATCATGTTTCTTCTGATCTTAGGTGATTGCATATTCTGAGATGGGAGTGCCCAGGTAACCCGTGAGACCAGGAGATCCATAAAGCCCTCCAAGATTCCAGAGCCAATGTCAGCAATAGCCAAGGGCTGGGAAGGGCCAGCACAGCAGCTGGGTGACCGCTCAACAAGCAGGTTGTCTGTCAGCTGAGACACTGAAACCTAAGAGGAGCCAGCCCAGGTGAGCATAAGAGTGACTCATCCATCACCAATGCCACACCCCCAAGCCAACTTGGTGGAACTCTTCAAAGGAAGAAAAGGATTCTTACAAGGTACATGTTCTATACACCTGTGTGCATGCATGTGCGTGTGTGTAAGGGAAGAATATGCCCCTCAGTTTAGGAGAATTGTTTTGTAACTGCTTTTCTTGGAGAGTGTCTAGGACAATCAGGATGATGAGGGGTCTCAAGTCCCTTTCTATGAGGACTGGTTGGAGAACTGGGGAAGTTTCTCTTGGAGAAAGGAGTGAAGTGTGAAGGATTGGAGTCCACCCAATGTAGTATGCTTGGGAAAGGAAACATCCCATGGAGGTGAGCCTACATCCTTGCCCCTTCTAGGGATATATATGTGCTGAAAGATGTGCATAACCAGAAGTTCCTCATTGGTCCCTTTGGAGAAAGAGGGACAGTACAAAAAAGGACTGGTGACTAAACCAGGAGAAGCATCCAGTCAGTTGACTTCAAAAGGAGTGAATCTACGCTGTCTCTCTTCCTGCCTTCTGAGCATGTTGGGACTCAGTTTCCAGCTAATGGGAAGGGGATCACTCTGTCCTCTCCCTCTCTTCCACCCCTTTACCCCATCCCCTACCAGCTATAGTGGCTGCTTGAATGTGGTAGTGAGAGTTTGTGCTGGTCTAGGTGAGCCTGAGATTGAATCTTTTGAGACATGGACATGTGAGTATCAGCAACCACCCCAGCACTTTGAGAAGTTCAGAGTTCCTGGGTCCAGGTGCTGGATGGTGATCTCCACAACAATTTCTCAGGGAAGAAGATGACCACCAGCAGCAGAATACTACAGATGAAAAGGTTAAGAAAGTCTAAGCCAGGATGTGGCTTGCCAAGAGATCTGGATTTAAGAGTTGCACAGAGAGTAAAGGTCAGAGGGGAAAGTGAACTGTTTAGTCAGCAATCTTGCCATAAGATCACATCAGTCACTGCCTGGTAAGACTGTGCAGGCAAAATCAGATCCTGTATAGTTCTAGGATTCCCCTTGCCGAGTGAGACCACATTCCAGATACATGCTTAAGAGTACATGGAGGCTTCCTGCTCTTTGGGGAAATAGATGTTTTCCTACCAGAATGTCTTACATTAGGGCTAGGGAGGCTTTAGGCTTTTCAAAGCACTTTCCCAATAGCTTTGCTCATTAAAGGTCTTCCCGCCCACGTCCTCCTGCTCAGCGCTAAGCTGCCAGCGTTGCCTGCCCGGCAAAGTACAGTTGGTCTGGTTAGCAGCCAGACATATTTAAACATGGAGTGGAGTGGGGCTAGGGGAGCTGCCAAGGACCCCAGGCCTTCCCCCACTCACCTACCTGTAACTGCCTCTCATGCCCTTCCTAGGAGAATAAGTAGGATTTGTCACTATGTCAACTTTCTGAATGGTGGCCCTTTGTTAACTTTTCAATGTTCTTCCCATTTGTCATTGACTGGCAGTCTAATCATGTCTTCCCAAACCCCAGTGAATCCTGTCAGACCGGCAGGCTTTCTAAGCCTCCAAGTCTGGGTTTGCCTTTGCTGAGTAACCCAGAGTCCTACCTGTCCCCTACAATCCCTTAGGGCAGCAACACTGTTCCTGACTTCCAGCATCATCAGCGTTTCCTTGGGTGCCTGAAGACGGATTTAGGGCACTCAGAATCCTCTCAAAAAAGTGTTATTTCCCTTTGCTAAACTGTTTGGCTTCGTTCCTAATTTGAAGATTGAGCCCTAACTATCCCACATTCAAAGCCCCTGGTCCTCGTCTCAGGCGAGTTCAGAGATGGCACTGAGGGAACAACAGTAAGCCTTTGAAGGCTTACAGGGGCAAAGGCTCAGACTTAACAGATGTCAAGGACACTGGTGGTAACATCTTCAGGCATAAAACATGGCAGAAGCGCGTCCATGAGTGCAAGTGGAGGTAGCACTCAGCAAATCACAGGAGGAAACAAGAAAGTCTAGCGAGGAAGAGGACATCAGAGACAGTGGGTATATGGCCTCAGAAAGCTAGACACCAATGAAACTGACATTTCTGCTCAGCCCCTTAGACATTACCAAGACTTAGTTGGGGGAGGTGGAAACTCAAATTGGCATTCGAGTGATACACCTTGGCCAAAACAAGCAGGTCTGATTGGAGGAGTGTGGAGCATCACCTTAAGGAAAGACATATGTATAGAAATCTATAAAGCAGATTTAGAGATCAGGTGGATGAGGATCAAAGGAGGAAACTACCAAAGAGATATTATACTGGATGTATACTTAAGACCACCCAGCCAGATGGGAGAAATGGATTATGTAGTTCACAAAATTGGCAGAGGGAAGAGATGGCTGTATGGGTAAACTTCAATGATTTCAATTCCTCTGGAATTATAAGTTTACCAAAAGCAGAGCCTCTGAAACTCTTAACTTGCCAAGTTTTATCGCTGAGAAGGGAAAGGAATTTGCAGATAAGGCATCTGAGACCCTTTGAGGTTAATGTTAATGACCTGCTCAGAGTAGAATAATCAGTAAGTGGTGGAATGGAGCCTGTCTCTTGCCTCCTAATATACTGATCTTTTTACTGCACCTACATTGCTTTCTGCTCCATTTTTTAAAATGTTGTCTTTAAATTTTAAGGAGGAAAAACTGTTCACTTCCTGCCCAGCTGGGGAGGCAGCTGTGGGCTTAGGTGCTGGGGGCAGATTGCTATCTTCTCTCAGTTCTGCTGCACCCCAAAGGCCTCCTCCCTTTCCCTAGCTAGTTCTCCTCCTCAAGTGGACTCAGGGAAGCAGATGGGAGAGAGGGAGAACAATGGGAAAGTGTGATAGGAGCAATACCTTAACCCCTCCTCCTATGCAAATTAGGCTGTTTTTTTTCCCTAAAAGTTATTGAGACATTCCTCAAGACTTGGATGGCTTAGGGGACTAAGGGCTCAGACTTTTGACATTAGTTCCTCATCACCAGAGTACAAAGCAGCCCATACACACACACACACACACACACACACATACACACACACACACGCACGCACACATACACACACATACATATATATACATACATACACATATATGTTTATTATATTATTATTTTATTTATTGTATTATATATATGTATATATGTATATATATATATATATATATATATATATATAAATATATAATATAGTTTAAGATCTGGTGCTGCTAAACCTCTTTCCTTTACTTTTTTTATTCATTCTTTTGATATTCTTGACCTTTTGTTCTTCCAAATGAATTTTGTTATTATTTTTTTAGATCAACAAAATTTTTTTTGGTAGTTTAATTGGGATGGCATTGAATAAGTAGATTAGTTCAGGTAGAATTGTTGTTTTTATTATATTGGCTCTGCCCACCCATGAACAATTAATATTTCTCCAATCATTTAAATCTGATTTTATTTGTCTAAAAAGTGTTTTATAAATATATTCATGTATTTCCTGGGTTTGGCTTGCCAGGTATTCTCCCAAGTATTTTGTATTGTGGGGTAGCTAGGTGGCACAGTGAGTAGAGTGCCAGACTTAGAGTTAGAAAGACCTGAGTTCAAATCCAACCTCAGACACTTACTAGTGGTATGACCCTGTAATTATTACAGTAACCTTATGTTTGAACAGCGATAAGAATTCAATATTGGGGGGGGGAAGAATTCACTCTTTGGTAAAAATTATTGGGGAAACTGGAAATCAGTCTGGCAGAAATTGGGTATATCTTACACCATTTACCAAGATAAGGTTTCTGTATGTATCTCTAATTTTCCAATGTATTTCTTGTAAACAACATATTGTCAGATTCTAATTTTTAATCCATTCTGCTATCATTTTCTGTTTTATAGATGAGTTCATCCCATTCATGTTCAGAGTTATAATTACTAGTTATGTATTTCTCTCCACCCTTTTTTCCTCTCACAGTTTATCCTTTTCTCCTTCTATTTTTACCCTATCCCTCCTCAGAAGTCTAATTTACTTCTGACCACTGACTCCCTAATTCACACCCCCTCTCAGAATCCCTCCTCATCCTTCCACTTGTCCTCCTACTCCTTAATCTACCTGCCCTTCAAGAGTCCTCCCTTATCTTGATCAGCACACCCTTCTAAAAGTCCCTCCCTTAGCCTATCCCCTTATCCTTCTATTTCTGTGTAAGTTAAAATTTTTACACTTCTATATGTGTACGTTAATTCCTTTTTAATCCAGTTCTGATGGGAATAAGATTCTAGCACTAGAAGCCCTCCACCACTTCCTGCCCTCCACTGTAACAGTTCTTCCATCTACATCTCATTTGCATGAGATAGTTGCTCCATTTTACCTCTCCCTACCCAGTTTTATTTTTTAGGATCATCTCATCATACTCAACTCAGCCCCAAGCCTACTATCTATGTATGCTCTTCCAAATTACCCTAGTAATGAAAATATTCTTAAGAGTTACAAATATCATTTTCCCATATAAGAAATAAACAGTTTGATCTTATTATCTCCCTTATAATTGGTCTTTCATGTTTACCTTTTTATGTTTCTCCTGACTCTTGTAAGTCAAATTTTCCATTCAGTTCTGGTCTTTTCCTCACCAATACCTGAAGGTCTTTTAATTCATTAAATATCCATTTTTTTCCATGCAGAATTACACTCAGCTTTGCTGGGTAAGTTATTCTTTTTGGGTTTTTTTTTTAACTTTTAGGCAATTGGGGTTAAGTGACTTGCCCAGGGTCACACAGCTAGTAAGTGTCAAGTGTCTGGTCTGAGGCCAGATTTGAACTCAGGTACTCCTGACTTCAGGTCCGGTGCTCTATCCAGTGTGCCACCTAGCTGCCCCTGGGTAAGTTATTCTTGGTCACAAACCAAGCTCCTTTCTTCTTTGGAATATCATGTTCCATGCTCTTCAGTCTTTTAATGTAGAAGCTGCTAAATTTTGTGTTGTCCTGACTGTAGCTCCACAGAATTTAAATTCTTTCTTTCTGATTTTTTGTAATATTTTCTCCTTGACCAGGGAGCTTCAAACCTTAGCTAGTTTTCATCTTGAGATCTCTTTCAGGTGGTGATCAGTGGACTCTTTCAATTTCTATTTTACCTTCCAGTTCTGAAACTTCAGGAAATTTTTCCTTAATAATTTCTTGAAGTATAGTGTCTAGACTCTTTTTTAAAAAATCATAACTTTCAGGTAGCCTGAAAATTCTTACGTTGTCTCTCCCCAATCTGTTTTCCAGGGCAGTTGTTTTTCTAATAAGATGTTTCACATTCTCTTCTATTTTTTCATCCTTTTGATTTTGTTTTATTATTTCTTGGTGTCTTATGCAGTCATTAGATTTTCCTCACCCAATTCTAATTTTTAAGAAGTTATTTTCTTCAGTAAGTTTTTGGATATCTTTTTCCAATTGGTTGACTTTCTTTCCATAATCTTCTTGATTTTTTTTTTGCATTACTCTTATTTTTTTCCTTATTTTTCCTCACTCTTCCTTATTTGGTTTTTAAAGTCCTTTTTAAACTCTTTCAAAAACTCTTTTGGTGCTTGTGACAACTTTACATTTTTCTTTGAAGTAGAAGTAGCTACTTTGACTTCATTGTCTTCCTCTGAATTTTAATTAAGAGATTAATTAAGAGTAGTGTGGGTTCACCTTAGACAGAGGGAAACAGGACTCCTTGGAGGGAATGGTTAAAGAGGAAACAGTTGGACTCAGGAAGATATTTCTCCACAGGTGCTCTAACTTTGACATTGCCTTGGTTCTGTTTAAGCATTTCAAAAACTCTAACTAACCCTAAGCAATGTACTTCTGCTTTATTTGGCTGTGGAATTTTGCCTTTTATTTTGTGGTTATTATAAAATGTAAGTAGAAATTGCCTATCAGAGAGAATTCTATTTAGCAGGCATGACTTTGTCAGTCTTTCACCTCTCTACAAGTGATGGGGTAATTGCACCCCAGATTAAGACCATGTCTTTGGCAGTAACCCATGGGTGGGCCCCAGAGAGGAAAACTATCCCTTCCTGCTATAGAACCTCCCTTCACAGACAGAACTATACTGTACTGACTCCCACAGTCACCGTATACAATCCAGAGGTCAAGCTATAGACATCAACTGCCGAGGCTATCTTGTATAGACAGGACATTGACTAGTAACAGACAGGATGGCCATGACCACCTGTTGATTGCCTGCTACAGCAGCAGACCTAAAAGCGCACCCCTCAGGAGCCCACTCAGCTGGCTGCAAGAGCCACAACACACCTTTGCCGCTCGACTTGAAGACGGTTCGAGTCCTCCAATTCTTCTCAGACAATACCACCCCACGCCTCAATATTTTCATGGGTCCCTGCACTGCCACACAAGCAGAAATGTTTGTAGATTGATAAATTATAGCTGATAGACTTTGGTAAAAATGCCATATATAAAGGTTTTTCTTCTCCAAATCAAAGTGGTAAAGATGGGAAAACTCAATATTGGAGGGGCTAGGGGAAGACTGGATGAAAATTCACGGCCGGTGGAGCAGTAAGTTGGTTTGACTATTTTGGAAAGTGACTGGAATTTTAGAAATGTTGCTAAGCTGTTCGTTCCTGTTCATCCAGAGAATCCGCTCCTCAGAAGCAGCCTGATACGGGGGGAGGAAGATTGGCTCTTGATTCAGGACATCCAAACCTTGCCTTGACCCTTCCTCCCTCTGTGGCCTTGGGCAAGCTTCCTTGGGCCTCAGTTTTCTCATCTGTAAAATGAGAGGCCAGCCTCGGTGGCCTCCGGGTCCCTTCCAGCCTAGCTCCTGGTCTCTTCTCTAAGGAGGCTGTTGGCAACAAGGAAGTGGCTCTCTGCAGACCCTGACACTGTTGTCTGTCCTCTCCTCTTCTCCCTAACGCTCTCTGCTCTCTAGGATTTTCTCCATACTGCTCTCTCTCGGTTCTCCTCCCGCCCATCCGACCGCTCCTTCTCGGTCTCCTTTGCTGGATTGTTATCCAGGCTATGCCCATTGTGCATGGCTGTCCCTCAAGTCTCTATCCTGGGCCTTCTCTTGATTCTCACTGGACTACGAGCTGTTTCCAAGGGTTCAATTATCAACTTTATGCAAAGGAGGTTTGAAACACCACTGGCCAGGACTTTAGTGAACCCAAGTGTGAACGTGCTCAAACACACGTGCCCTCACAAAGAGCCCCACAAGCTTATACACACACACACACACACAATCACACACCTTCACAATTTATCAGTCACACAAACACACAGTCTTACACACTGACCCCGGGTATATGCGGCTGTCTCCTTGGTTGCTTCTTTTGTAAGCTCTGAGGAGCCAGATAAGACAGTCAGTTGGGGCAGCCTCAGTTCCCCATTCAGAGTTCCCCAAAGCACAGAGTCTGAGAAGTTGTTTGGTTTTTTGTTTTTTTGTTTTGCTTTGTTTTTTTCCCTAGGAGACCTCAGTTCTAAATGAAACTCTGCCGTGCACTCTCCTGGGGACAGACAATACCAGTTGGCAGATGGCAGATATTTTCCCAGGGAAGTTTTCATCATCTCATCCCCCATGGGAAGGGGCAAGAGATGGCATCCATTTGTGTGAGGGAGGGAGGGGGAGAAAAAGAACGATTTTATTCCTTGGTTTCTCCTTCTTATTTGTGCTGTTTTTGTCTAAATTCAATTATTTTGCAGCCAGATAGGTGGCTTCTTCCATGGTCTATCAATCAATAAAGCAACAAGAATTTACGAAGCACCTACTATGTGCCAAGCCCCGACCTGGTCTCTGGGGGCACAGAGACAAGGGATGGTACAGTCGCGACTGGCAAGAAACACCCGTTCAGTTGGGGAAGACGGCCCAAGTGCATATGATACTTGTGAAGTGCTCAGCACTGTGCCCGACACACAGTGGGTGCTGTATAAATGCTTGCTCCCTTCCTCTTTCCAGCCGCAAGCATACATTGAAAAGAAATGCAAAAGTTAAATGCACCATCATTTGGGAGAAAGGGAGGAAAATCAGGAAAGGCTTCATAGAAGGCGGCCGTCGAGATGGGAGAATCTCTGAGTCCAAATGGAGTTAGGGGTGTACTCCAGGTGCAAAGGCACGGACACGGAGCGTTTTGTAGGAGGAGCAGAGAGGAGGCCCATAGGGCTGAATTACAGAGCCGGAAGGGGAGAAGTATGAGGGTCTGTTGTGATGGAGGGAGGCTTGGGCCACAGTTTCCACAATATGGCTAGCATAGGTATACGGTGATTTCAGGCTTGCAAAGCCCTTTACAAATAGCTCTTCTGATCTGCATAAGAATCCTGGGAGACCAGTGCTGTTATTCTCATCTCCATTTTACAGATGAGGAAACTGATGAGGCTAAGGGAAGTTAAGTTAGTTGTCTGATAATTCCGAAAGATTCATGATGGAAAATGCTATTCCAATGCTATTTCCAGAGAAAGAACTATGGAGTCTGAATGCAGATTAAAGCCTACTATTTCCTCTCTTTTTTTGTTTTGTTTTTTCTTTCTCGTGGTTTTTCCCTTTTGTTCTGATTCTTCTTTCACAACATGACTAAAGTGGAAATATGTTTAATACAATTGTACATGTATAACCTATATCAGATTGCATGCCATCTTGGGGAGGGGGAAAGGGAGGGAGGGGAGAAAATTTGGAACTCAAAATCTTATAAAACTGAATGTTGACAACTAAAAATAAATTTTAAAGCATCATAATAAAAAAAAAGTTAATTATCTGGGGTCACATAGCTAAAGCCTCTGAGACTGGATTTGAAATCAGGTTTCCCTGGCTGCAGGACCAGCCCCCTCGCCCCTGCACCATCTAGCCTCATAGGCTTTTCATAACTGATGACCCCAAACAAGCCAATCTCCAGAGTCAGAATTCTCAGAGCTTCTAAGGGCCTGGGGAGGAGAGGGGATAAGGGCTGGGCCTCTGGCTTATTTGGAGTACTGAACACCCAGGTGAGGAAGTGAATTCTGCCAATATAGGTCAGCATCTTCTCTGCAGCTTAGCAGGTTAGAGAGCTTCCTGAAGAGATGAAATGACTTGGCCAGGGTGATGCAGGATTAGGTGCCGTAAGCAGGTTTTCCTTGGCTTTTTTTTACCCAGCTAGTAAGCATCTTAGGTCAGATTTGAACTCATGAAGGTGAGTCTTCCTGATTCCATGCCCAATGCGCCATGCACTGTGGCGCCACCTAGCTGTCTGAAAATTCATAGCAGGGAAGAGTAATCCCTAACCCCTAATGTACTCACTCGGCATCCTCTCCGCCACTGCCCACCACCCTAGGCAACAGGGCTAGTCTTTTTTTTTTAACCATTTTTAAAATTAACAAGTATTTATTTGTTCTCCCTGCTCCCCCCACAAATTACAATAATAATAAATAATATAATATATATAGATAATAATAAAGCCCTTGTAACAGATACACTCAGTCAAATAAACAAAAATATTGCCGATTGGCTGAGTCCAAAGACGAGTGTCTCATTGTACGTGTGGAGTCTGTCACCCCTCTGTCAGTAGGTGGGTAGCGTTCTTCATCAGTCCTTTGAAGCTGTGATTGGTGATCGAGCTGCTCAGAGTTTTTTCAAGGCGGCCCATCTCTACAATATTGTTATGACAGTAAATTGTTCTGCTCCTGGTCCCACTGGAAGCGCTACCATTCTATGAGGGCTGACTTTTTGGCAAGGACGTCCTAAGGGAGTGACCCACCAGGAGGGTCTCCCAGGCCTACTTTCTCAAGCTGATTAAGGCCAGAGCACCCTCTCTCTTAAGGACAGGGTGGTTGCTTACATGAGCCCACACTAGCCCAGCCTCAGAGCCCTTCTTCCAGCTGGTCCCATTCAGCCTAGCATTTCAGCTTAGGGTGAGAGCTAAGCTGAGCCTCTGCCAGGCTGTTGAGGAGGAGGAGGAGGAAGTGTGGGTGCCAGAGAGGACGATCAGAGCCAGAGAAAGCCGAACCCAGCTCCACCCAGGGCCCTTTTTCATTCCTCTTCTCAGGATGGTAGAAAGATGGCAGGTAGGGTGACGTTCTGCACATGAATATCAGGGAATGAAGCAGGCCAGGGCCAGCTGGTGAGGCAGGCGGGGGCTGGAGAAAGATCCAATTCAATTGTCAAGATGAATGAAATAACCAGATGCTGAGCAGACAAAGAATTAAGAAAGAATGACAAGATCAGAAGACTGAGAATTGGAAGGGACCTATGAGGTCATCTCCTACAGCCCCTCCTCCCATTTCACAGAGGAGGAAACTGAGGCCCAGAGGGGTTTAGTAATTGGCCCAAAGTTAATGATAGAGCCAAGACAAGAACCTGGAAGTCAGGTGAGGATTTGCCTTAGCAGGGACCTCTTAGGGCATTTTGGATTGTCTGAGAAACTTGTGCCCATTGAGATTTAATTCATTTCAGTTTAACTTAATTCAGTTCACCTCCATCCAAAAAGCATTTGTCAATCTCCACAGTCATCCGGGCATTGTACTGAGTATGGGGGAAACAAGGCTTGAAACCAGGCCACTGTCTCCACCTTAAGAGGCCTGCAGTCTAGTAGAGGGAGAAGACATGTGGACACACGGAGAGATTACGAGTTATTCTTTCCCCAGCGTGTAAAATAATAGGGACAATATTGTTCCCTCTCTCTCCCCTAGATGTCTGAGGAGCTGGCCCAGGCAATTTCAATAACTTCCTCATTTCTGCCCCCACCCGCCTCACCCCAATCGCCACCATGGTGATATGAGAGACAGTAGAAGTCCTTTACTGAACCCTAAAGCTAAAAGATGTGAAGACATATGTGGGAGAGTGTAAGCTCCCTGAAAGTACGGACTCTTTCAGTCTCTGTATTTGTTTGTGCTCAGCATAATGCCTGGCTCATAACAGGTGCTTAATAAATGCGTATTGATTAACTGACTGATTGATTGAAGATTGATTGATTAGGACATCAAACCATGGCAAGTCACCTGAGTCAACCCGCTTGTGAGGGTAGGTGGCATTTGCTGAAATCTACTAGAAGCATGAATCCAAGAAAGAGGACTAGGGCACAGCTAGCCAAAGGAGGGGTGCACTGTTGTGGGTGTTCCCTGCTAGAGCCCCTTTCCCGGGGAAATCCATAAGATAGGTGACTATAGATCTCCTGGGGAAGGTTGCTCACTGGTCAGCGTTGCTATTTTCTGTGTGCTTTGATATGAGTTTTACCTGCTTCCCCTTAACTTGTAAATAAATTTGTTCATGCTTTGAGTCATGTGTTTGTGAAGAGAGTAATGACCACACCCGAATGGGGATGTGAAATATTGACATGCCCATATTATCTGGGTGGGGATAGTATGCCTGTTAGGATAGGGCCTCTCAAGATAAGAGCCACTAAATAACTATCACATCTGCTAAAATATGATGTAACTCATGGCACAATCAGGCCTAGGTCCCCAACTCAACAGACCATGGAACAATTTGTGAGGTTTTTCTCGGTTTTGTGTCTTATGCTGCTACCTAAAGATCTCATGGAAATATTACCACACAGATTATTTGCTTTCCTAAAAGGGACCTCTCGGGTCCCCTGCAAGCACTAAGGCTAACGAGACCTCAACTGAAGGATAGGTTTGTTGTTGTTTTTAACCTGATTGAAAACACAGAATGGATTTTCATTCAAGAATGCTCCTTGACCTTTAGGAAAATTTTTCTCTCCTTTTTAAAGGGTATCAAGAAATCTGTACAGTCCACGATGATTCACAGCACTGACAAAGGGATAGGTTGCGGATGTTTCCTGAAGGATATGGCTCCCTGATATGCTGACCCCACTACCACTATCAGAGACACAGTTTAAGGGTTTGCTCTTCTGACAGTGTGGGGGGAGAGGGGTTCTCTGTAACCTTTCAGCTTTTTGCAACTATATATTTTCAGAGACCCAACAAGAATTTAACCATAAGTTAGGTGAGATCCTTCACCATGGAACCTAGCTCTGAATCAGAAAGAATTGTAAAGCAAGAAGGGTTGTACCTCTTCCACCCTCCTCCTGGTTGGGAGGTGACAGATGATAAAATTGAATTGTAGAGGCTCCTATCAGTCCTAAGCTAAGAGCTTCTGCCTTTTTTCTTTTTAAGGCAATTGGGGTTAAGTGACTTACCCAGGGTCACACAGCTAGTGTTTGGTCTGAGGCCAGATTTGATCTCAGGTCCTCCTGACTTCAAGGCCGGTGCTCTCCACCACACCACCTAGCTGCCCCAGAGCTCCTGCTTTTTCTGAAAGAGAGCAGTAGCACTCCAGCTGAAAAGAGCACCATTCCCACCTCCACCCCTCACCTGAGAGAGCATGGTAACACCCAGGCAAGCCCAAGGCTGGAGGTGGTAGAGCCTGAAGGTTTCTGTCAAAAAGCCAGCTCAGGTTGTCCGACAGATTGTCTGCAGCAAAGACGCCACACCCTGTGAGGAGCCAGCTAAGCAACCCGTCCACCTGAACTGGGTAGAAGAAGTCAACCCAGCAGCCTTCTAACCTTCCTTACCTAGCCTAGCAGTGAATCAACTATCCAGCAGAGATAATATATTCTGTGAGAAGCAAGCCCAATTGAACCACTTACCTAGTTGAAAGATCATGCCTTGTGG